TTTTGAGAGAATCGTCTGACGACTCACCTCGTGGGTAACGGTAGAACGACTGCGAGGATGTGGTAGACTTCGTTTCGGATGTTTCCAGAAGTCCACCTATCGGTTGCATGTCTGAGCGCGTCTGAAATGAGTGACACGATTGACTAAACGGCAATGCCGGCCACAACTGTGGAACATCGTCAAGTCTCTGACTACCTTCAGCCGACACGGTATCAACCCTCTCTGTGGTTTTGGAGTCACCCGGCTTCCCTGCAACGAGAACTGTTGGGATCAGAGCCATTGGTTTCTTTATCTTTTAACTCTACAAGGCCAGAATGGGAAGCGCTAGGACAACCGAGCGACAGCCACTGCTTCGGCTTCTTGCATCATAAGCGGGAGCTCACGCTCCTTCTGCGGAATGGTATTCTCATCTTATCCGCCAGAATATCGGCCATTATGGCACTCTCAGACTTCGATTCCACCGCAATGCAATGGCTTCGTGCACAGCGTTGCGGACCGCAGACAAGATGTTTTGTCTTTTAGTTCCCGCCACATTTCTCAAACTAACGATAAGTTCGTTATCCATGGTCTGAGGTAATCCCATTAAAATCCTTTTCCAGTGGCTTACCTCATGCTCATCTTGAACTCCTTCTACTCGGGCATCCATTGCATCTACGTGAAGCTCATTGGCCATATCTGCAACACTGATGTTTTGAGAGGGCTTGGCCCCTATGTCAGGTTGGAGCTTGCGCCCCATGTCAGGTCGAAGCTTGTCGCGGGAGTCCGTCGCGTCTGGATTAGACCTCGACTGGCTGACATCCCGTTGAGTCTTTTTATCGAATACAAATCAATTATTGCAAATCAACCCAATATGTCTGGCGCCAACCGATTGAAGAACGATCACAATCGTCTTTCAATTTTTTTATTCGAATCTCTCTGGAACGGTTGGTCCTGTGGTCGTAGTAACTTGCCTTTCCCACTTCTGGATATAGTTGCCACGCGGGACTTGCGCCTCAAACTTGGGTAATTAAACCTTTATCTCTAATACATCATAAAACCCATAAGTGAGACCATCTATCTTGAGGCAGCGAGAAACCAGTAACATGGCGAGACTAGTAATAGCACCGTAACAAGTGACAATGTGATGATGAGGCAAGATGAGATCAGAGATCGAGAAGACAATAGGAGAACATAATAACACTAATGAACACAATAACATAACAATAATAATACTTCTAATAATCAAATAAACAACGATATCCGAACCATGACTAATTAACATAATAACATCAGCAACACTACAACACATGTGTACAACTAAAGAGGCTAGGGACTACAGTAAAGAATTTCGCCAAGTCGCAGAGAAAGAGTAACATAAAGGATAGTCACTTTATCGCATTCCCCACGTGCTCCCCTTGGCAGCGCTCAATGAGTTGTGAGGTTGCGCGGACTTGTAAAGTCCCGAAATTCTTTGTGATACGGTAATTATGTAGAGTCCTTTAATTCATTAAGTCGCGCCTTTTCATAACTGCGCCCTTTCTTTAGGTCGTTTTTTTCCGCGGCGGAAATTATTGAGTCCCGCTGTTCCCACTGTTCAGGGGCCTTAACGATGCCTGAACTCCAGTGATCGCCCGGTGATCGTAGATGTGTAGCCGTTCGTTAAAGTCGTTGTTCGCCAATTCGCAGTGTCGTTTGTCCGCTTCGATCTGGAGCGATAACTCCGGCAGTGGGCACACTGCCGACGCGTGGCCTATCCTCTTACAGTGAAGGCAGGGAATCCCCGCCTTCGCGCAGTCGCTTTCGCCCTCGCATTCCAGCTCTAGGCACACTTGGCATCTTCGAGCTCTCCGGGGGTACTGCGCCCTCTCTTATCTAGTGCGGATCTGACCGCAAGAGTCGGAGTAAGGGCGTCCGAGCGACCCTCAAAAACCGCAGGGCATTTCCTCCTCCTCGCGGCGGTATATTCCTGCCCGATACTCCCGCGGCCGACATACTTCCCTGCAGGCGAGTTCCCTCATGCGACGGCTAACCTTCGTAAGCTCCGCTTCCAACCTTCCAATTTTCCTTCCCAGGGCTGCATCTCATCACTTTCCTCCTCCTCGTGGACTGCCTCCATGATTTCCGCGTTGTCTGCTCCGGTAGCTCGCTCCTCCTCCGGTTTCGCCTCAATCGCCACGGAAACCTTTACTGGTGCTGATGGTATTGGATTACGAGCCATTCTTCCCGTGTCCTCTTGCATTCGCTTCATCGCTAAATCCAAGGAGTTGATCGCTATCAAAACTTCCTTATATGTGCTCTCATGCAGAGCTTGTTTGAGCTTGCAGAGTTTCGGCCTTCAGTTGTCGTAGAGTGCCGAAGATCTTCCAGTTGATCCTTGGCGATCAGTTCGATATCCTCTTGGTTCACCAGTAGCGTCTTCCTTCCTTGCCGAGTGGTGTACTCTGTGGGGCCTCCATGTTGGACTGCCAAGCTCTTGAGAAAATCGCTCTGGTCGCAAGAAAAGGGGCACTGATGAGAATAACAACCGAAGAAGCTCAACAAAAAATTGCAAACAGGTTTTACGATTTTCAGTTTCTAGCTCCGTGATGCGAGCTTCGCGCTCAAGTTCTCTATAAGATAAATCACTATTACAAAGAACTGGGTAAATCCCTCGGCTAATAAACGCGCTCGATGACGAGCATGACGTTCTAGCAACTTATGACAATGTCGTCGTACAGCTTCGTGGGCGACGACAACTTGGGCAAGGCAGCTTTGAGCCGTTTCAACTCTCGTTTCACCTCTTCGTAGCAAACCATGCTCTAAGATGGGCTTTACGCAAAAAATGTTTGCTTGGATGTGTAAGGATTTTTCCATTTGTTTATACTGACTCGCAAATGATCGCAATTATCTTTCTTAGACTTATGGTGATACTCTACAGATGGGAAATTAAACCGGTTTTGCAAAGTAGAAGTGAAATCTTAAAAGGTAATTCGAACTGTTGCTTGAGCGAAATAAAGCAATGAAATGAAATGAAACTCAAGGTGAATTTTCATAGTTGAAAATGAAACTATTTACAAAATCGGTAGTGAATGTTCATCAAAGCATTCAAAGAAAGGAAAGCATTATTCGCAAATAGCACCTGCAGGCTGATCGCTGATTCACGGTTCTTCACTATTGCCGTGTTGCATTTACTCTTCCTTATTCTTCTCACGTGGGGTAAGCACCGATTCTGTAGTGTGTTTCGAGAATGCTTTAGAATTAATCGGACATTTGTAAACAGTTGTACCTTTTCAAACTGCGCGGTCAGTTCGCGACAACTGAGTAAAAATTTGCTAAAATTCACAAAGGGTTCGCGGCCGTCTAAATAGGTATCGCAAATGTTTTTATCGCGAGTGAGTACTATACGACAAAAAGAAGCCCGAGAACGGCGTTTATAATCGCAAGGTTACTACTGGAATGGCGTTTATTGATTTCAGTGTGAGTAAAGGAAGGGGAAACGTTAAAGAAGTTAGGAAGAGTCTAACAAGAATGGGAAAGTGGTGAAGTGTCTGTGTTGTAGAAGAATGAAGGTGATATTAAGATAATGGGTAGAGCACGAATTGCCTATTGTTATTTTGCTTCTCGTTAGTCGTTTTCTCGGCGGATAGACGTTGAGACTGCTTGAAAAAAAACATGAGATGTTGTCGAAATCATGAGTGATCCTCCCCTTCGCGCTTTCGCGCATCGCGTGTTGCGAAATCTATGATCGATTGAGGTATGTGGCTATGGCTACAGCCGATAAATCACGAGGAAGAACCTGCCTAAACACTGGTTTTCTGCGGTTGGACTTGTATGACTTTCAGAGAACGCTGATAATTTGCGATTTTCCCATCGGTATGAGATGATCCTGGATCAAAACCCGAGTCTGCTAGGAGGCAGACGTCAAATGGACATCAAACTCATATACATGCATCGCAATGGAGACCGTAACTGACTCGAGTGAACATACTAGCTCCAATGGGTGGCAGCTTTCTCTATTTTGTCTTTTTGGACAAATAGAGGAGTGATGTTTTTGCCTTCGCACATGTTGCATCCTTTACTTGTGCATTGTTTCATTGTGTGCAGTTAAGGCATCTTTTATACTTGTACTTGAGTAAGAAGTGTGTTCTCTTATCGACTGAGGCAATCTTGGTACATGCTTGAGAACTATATTCACCTGCATTGCAGTTAATGCATGACGGTAGTCGACCTGGTAGTCTATCGTTTCTTCTTTGGTATGCATTAAGTTTACTTCTATTCTGTAGAGCTTCGTTGTTCGCTAACATTTCTTCGACTTTTGTTCGGCTGTGATAAGCCCTACGCTCTCCCTCTCTCCCATTACTTGCTCTTACGACTTATACTGGCTTATCACAGCCGAAGAAAAGGTCGAAGAAATGTTTTTAGTCTCATCGAACGTAGTTCATCGGCCCCTTTTTCTAGCGTAGACTGTGACCGTCATCGAAGTGTTAGGGAGCTTCTTCCAATAGGTTGTTTCCACCAGCAACAAGAAAACCCCTTTTTCATGAAGTCTACACTGTTCTGGTGAGACGCGAAATGAAGTGGGATTTTTGCATACGATAGGGTAGCAATGAAGCTTCTGCTTGATATTCGTAATGCACTTCTCACTCCAGCATGCCAATGATTGGAAGCGGCATTGCCTCCATCATTTGGAAAATACATATTGGAAGTTGCACTATAGTAACCATGCATTTTGCACGAGAATTTTTTTATGCTACGGTAGTCAGGCGCGAAAACATTCGAAGAAGGTTCCGGATTCTCCCTGAGAGGGGACATGTTGAGAGTGTTGCAGGGCTTAATTTCCAACCGAGTATCATTAACTAGCATTTGTATGGGTGAACAAAAAGTATGCATGACTTGGTGTGGTATGGCTAAGAAAAGGTAAGCCAACTTATAATCAAGCCGGCCATAAAACTCTTGGAGAGCAGAACTGTAAAAGCCGGGAATCACTTCTAACTTCCATCGCTATATTCTGAGACTCGGACGAAGAACCACTTCAAAGTAGTAGGTGAGCTTTGAAAGTGCCCTAAATCAAGCCACCCTCTATATTTTCGGGAAGTCGCCTTGCGAACTTATTTGTTTTATATAGCGTACCCAGCACTTAGACAAGAACTTTGAACCTAATTGTAACGAAAAAAAGAAAATCCAAACCTATGTTATGGGTGCATATTCGAACTACCTTACGGAGGGTACAGAAAAAGGGAAGAAGTACTAAAATCAATCATTCCCCAGCGAAGAATACTTCTCTGAAGGATTTTCCTAGCATTCAAAATTCGTGATGAGTGTTATCTGTGGCCTAGGATCGTTCATCGCTTTCATTCACACAGAAGAATAATTCATAGATACATTAGGAGCAACACAGCCGTAACCCACAGAAACAGACACGATATGAGGGAAGTCCAAAAAGACTGACATAACGTGCTGTTTTTTTAAAAGGTTTCTGTGATTCTTTGGCCGATTGTACAACTTCAGTCGACGGACGTTTCAATCAGGTTGCCTTCATTAGAGCCTGTATACCAAACATATTTGGTATTTACCTCACGGCATTTCTTTGCTCAGTTCCGTATGAGCAGAGGCTGGAGGCACCCGGATCGAACAGTCGACTAACATTCTTAGATAAACTCGATAAGCTGTCGCTGTAAGCCACTCCTAAATTGAAAGGGTGTGACCCACTTGGTCTGAATTTGTCCTGATGCTGATGGCTATCGAAGCCCACATAGCTCGAGAAAAATGGTCCAATATAAAGGAAGATAACAGAAATTAGAACTCCCAGAGCATGGTGCTTACTTCGTTCGTTGGACCATCTTCAATGATGCCCTCGCCTTTTGCTCAATCATCCCTTCTAAGATAACTAGGGTTCGCGACGCTTGGACTCATTGATACCCTCTCAAGCTTGCCACGCGGTTCGTCAGAGGGATAACCCCAGGCAATGAATCGAAACCTCAAACTCAAACCCTTTAAACTTCGAATAACAATAAATAGAAACAACAAATGAAATATTCCGGCGAACAAAGAACCCGACAGTCACAATCAAAAACATGAAGGACTTCGAAACAACAAGGACTCTCCTTTCGCGCCGATGTCCAAATAGATTCCAAAGCATCCGCTCCAACTTTAGGCCGTTTTTCTGTCTTCCCGCGCCTAAGACCGGTTTTTACGGGTGTGTGTCGATTTGTGCGATTCTGGGTGCGCGCGACAATTTGCGCGGCGAAATTCGGTGCGATATCATTGGGACAGAAATTTGGAGTAAAGTAGGTTAGGAAGATTGTCCGACCCTACTAAAGTACTCTACTTCAAGTTTGTGCCCCAATGATAAGCGCAGGAGTTGTTTGAATCATCGCGAACTTCTGCGCAATTTGCCGCGCGCACACGGAATTTTACGAATCGTGCGTCCCCCGGTATTTACGTGTGGTATCTCCACCCACGTCCTCTGTTTTTTGGCATCAGTCTGAGCCTATGTCCATGTTTTCTCTGTGTCTTATTTCTGAGTGAAGCTCTCCCTTCCCTTCTTTGATCGCGTAGCCGGATAGCTTTTCCGCTTCCCGATTGCCATCCGATTTTTCAATTCAAGGCATCGTCTAAAACGAGCCTGAGATAATCATGTGGTAGGGATATACACAGAGTTAGCCGATGCCCAAGCTAGATAGAAGCGAATGCTTTACGTGTAGGGCAAAATGTGGAACCATTACATTATCCTTACATGAGCCTTAGGACTGGTTATTTGATATAAAAGCTAAGCTGTGCAGGTTTCCAAAGCAGTTCCATTCTTTAAAACTCGATGAGCAGAGTTCAGTGTTTCCAAATTTCAAACAACTTGAGTCGAGCACGCTTGCAAGGAAGAGGCGTTTTCATGTTAATTTAGAATCCTTTGTACATTTCCAATGATACGTGTGCGTTCGATTCGAGCTCTAAATCATTGTAATGATAAAGGTCAGGGAAAGCACGCATCCGCATCCACTTGGTGCAGCTGGCCGATAATATGAAGTGTTTTTCTTCCCAGCTATAGCTGCCAATTTGCTTTTTCACCCTTATAAAGTAAGTATAATCCAGTTGAGTGATTCATTAGTATTAACTTTGTTAGCGACGAGCGCAAATAAAGAAAGAGTACTGTCGCGCCGTCCGGGCCGCCCTGCCGAGCGCCCGTTGCATCGGTGGATCGCTCGGACTGGCGGTCGGGACGGCGTGATGATGACCGGGGTCTTACGCGCGCTCGCATGCTCGGCACCCCCTGCC